TTTGCGACACTGATACTTTTAGCCCTTGCGATACACAGCCCTATAGTGTTGGTCAGTTTCCAAGTGTCCTGATAACCCAGGAGTTAGATCATTTTTCTATAGTTTGGGTCCCAAGTTCGACTTATTTGTATTTGATGTCATGACCCATGCATTGGAAGTAAAAGATGAGAATTAAATTACTTGATGTTTCTGGATTGGGGTTTTTAAATTAAGTCGTGAAAGATAAAGAAATGATGCTCATGCAAGTTCATGTATTAATTGTTGGACAGAAACACAGATGAAAGAGTTAAAGGTTAAGAGTTCTTGGGCCTTAGTAGGTTGAATCCTTGACTGGTCCAGTGCATGCTATTTCCCCGTTATGCTATTTGATTTTGAGTGCTCTGGCTAGGCAATTCATTATGAAATATATCTATAGTAAAAGTTTTCCAGATTTATAAAACCAAATACCCTTAAATTTCTTTATTTGAAGTGAAAATATTTGAGGTAAGAGAACTTAAAGCTTTAAAAAAAAAAAAAAGGACTGAGGTCTTTGTTATGATTTTCTGACACTAATTACAACTTGATTTTAACACTGATTTATCATTAAACAAAAAAATGTAGAAATGTTCACTTGATGGCTCCGCCCTCACCAACGGTCGCACCGTCTAACATATTATTCATATGTTCAAATTCGTATGTATTCTAAAGAAAATTACATTTTTTTTAGGTGGATATAAATATGATATATATATATATCCGTAAAGTTCAGAATGTAAGATTATAAAGTATATAAAAAAAATTCCAGAAGAACAAAGCATGAATTCTATAATCCAGCATTTTTCCTGCAATTCCATCCTCTTGCTTGCATGATACCAATACGCGAGTTTCGAGATTGTAACTCTCCTACGATAGAGGCGCGAAAAGTATATATATCTGCATGGAAGTGGGACAGGTTGTAAATGTATACAAACTTGCATAAATAAAAGAACGATGACTATGACTTTTAAAATTCATTTGATGTTACAAAAAAATGATAGTGCTAAGTAGTTATCATTTTGATGATTTTGTAAAGCTCTTCTACCATATTTACAAAATTTACTTTCAGTTAGGGTATTAAAAAACAAAAGAACCATAATAGTTTTTATAAAACAAAAATTAATTCTTTGATTGTACAAACCCTTTCTAAATGGTTATGTGGCTCTTTGAAGTTATTATAAGGAAAGGTCATTCAGAATGCCGACGTACAATGATCAGGTGCGTGTGTATTTATTAGAGATCCATATAGATCTATTCCCTCGTTTGATGTTTTATCCACTGATAATTTCCTTTGGTCCGATTTTTATTTTCTTTTGTTTCATTTTTTTTTTTCGTAGAAAAAAAATTGACGCCTTTACTTTAATTCTGTATAAGTACATCCCGTCAATCAGTTACGATAGACCGGTATATCGATGATGTAATGTATCAAATATAAACAAGAAAACATTGATGTAACCATCAATTGTCGCCCGGGAAATTAATAAAGTAAACAATGGAAATGAGTCTTGATCATCAAACCGCTTCGATATGTGTGACAAAGGCATGCATCTAAATGATGGAGACGATAGTCGATAATATTTTGAAAACTTATAGTCGGATGAAAATCGAACAAAAACGATACCCTTTTAAACTTTATCAATTCCTCAAGTAAATGTTGGCTGCATAAAATATCACCTATTTTCAAAAATGTCTTTCACTTTAAGAATATAAAACACGAACTGTGTAAAGTACGTTTTTATGCGATAAGTAAAATTCGATGTTCTAAAAAAAGGGACCTGTCGTTTTTTCGATAGTATATGATGAGCAACTTTATATATTAAATATGAAAAACATATATATTTTTACAGATTCACTTTATGGAAGTAAATATATTGTGTATCTCGTAATTTAAAAAGGGGAGGAAAATTCTGATAAACAATCTTTTCAATGTTTAGAAAACCTTTGATTCTGAATAACTTCTCCCACCTCAATCCCCATATACCAACACTTAATCTTATATTTATAGAGCAGCCCGGTCCTCCGGGCTGCAAAAACTGTCCCACCTGCCTGCTTATGCGGAAACAAAACTCCTCTCCGTAACGAAAGAGCACACCAAGGGAGATAATCTCGAAACTTGCGTATTGAAAGCTCCATCTCAGTGTTTTGCAAAAACTCTACCCTCTTACAAATCCTTAATAGCTAAGACGTAGGAAAGCTTTGTTGTTTTTGAACAGTTAACGTACCAAATATTAACAAATTTAATGTAACTTGTTTATGACTGTCCTGTGCAAGAAGAATCTAACCTACATTGTCTAGAATTGTCTTAACAATGCTGCGTAGAATTGGCACACCTTTTTTACCCCCAAAATTTCTAACCTACATTAGTTGAATTGAAATGTATTATAATATGTTTGTACTTTTACTAGAGATATAAAACCAAAAAGTAGTGGGGGGACCCCCAATCAATGGTTATCCGAATAGATGGGGTTTCGTCTTTGACAACTCTTTCTTTCAAAATATTTTAAGATTATATTCAATACACCAAATACATTTTATGTAGATTTGAGACAGTTTGTTATTGTAAACTTACATATTTATTATAATGCATTTCAGGACAAAAACAATTATGAATGATTAAGTTCGTATTTATAGCAGAAATTAAAGACTATGCTTCATGTACGTGAAATCCATTTTGATCCAATTTTTGAATACTTTTAAATTGTGAAGAAGAAGGCTATGGACTTTTCCGTTTGCCCGATCATGAAAAGGAGAACATGGTGGGTGGACCTGTCGTCAGGGAATGCTCACTCCTCCATGGCACCTGAACCCATCTCTGTTGCTTTTAGAGGTCTGCTCCCTATTTGTATTGTCTCAATGGACTAATAAGCTTGAATACTGTTCGTAATCTCCATATTTCACATCAGAATTTTCTAAGATTTACATTCAGAGAAGTAGTTGCAAAGATTGATTGTATGTTGTTTTACGTCCCGTTTGAGAATTTTCACTCGTATAAAGAGGTCTCCATATACCGGTGAAGGAATTCAAATTTAAACCTTTACTCGGCACTTTGGGCCATTGAGCAGTGAGTGTTCTTTATTGTGCCAATGCCTACTGTGACACAGGGCCCCCGTTTTTATGGTCTCATCCGAAGGACCCGCAACTTCACTTCAAAGTGCCCGGCGCTTGGCGAAGGAACAGCTGCTACCTATTTTTTTTTTTATAAACTTAGGTCAGTCGCGGCCGTGATTCGAACACACGATCTTCCGATCACAGATATTTGAAAAGAGGTTGCGGTGTTGATTTACAAAAATGCAATGTTGTTTCAACATTTAGGTTAAAAACCCTGATTCAGCATAAAAGTAAAGATCATAGTTTTAAATTATCTTCAACGGTTAAGTATAATGTAGATAGAAAGTTGCCATTAAATGTTGCATTTCAAAAGGTTATATTTAACAATATTTTATTCTTCATTATTCGAATCTGAATTTTTATTCAAAGTCGTTATAAGGCTTAAATGTGTGCTTGAAACTTTCTTTACATTAATCAATAATGCCAATTTAGATAATGATATTTATGTTGCAGCCAAGAATAACTTTTTATCTTGAAGTACATAAACTCGTGACACATGCATTGCTCTGTCAGGTTGACATACAAGGAAACTAACTCCATCAGCTGGGACTTTTCTCACCATTAAAATGGAGGTCGTCATATTATTATGCTCAGTTATTTTCAGTCCCTATGACCATATGTGAGAAAATCCATTGAATTGGTTATTATTATTATTATTATTTTCTCTCTTTTTTTTTTTTTTTTTTTATAGATTTTCTGTGTATTCTAACGCAAAACATCCAAAATATAGAAATTGTAATCGTAAAGCATGTCTATCGAAAATTTTGGAATACCTTAACGCTAGTTATTATTTAAATTCAGTTATGTTGTGCCAATGAACATTTAAAAATGTCCACTACATTTTATACCTAATTATAAGAAAGCATTATCGGTATTTTTCAACTTTTGATAAAAATATTTTGATGAAAGATATCAAAGATATATTAGCGTATAAGGATATATTTCACAATGTATATTTTTGCAGGTTAACATACCTTTAATAATTGAAACAAAAAAAAAAAAAAACGTCGTCTATCTAGCACTTTAAAATATTGTTTCTTTTTTATGTTTATGACAAGACACTTTAAGATCGGCGGTCAACAAGAGATACTTACTCCTCCTAGGCACCTGATCCCACCTCTGGAATTTCCAGGAATCGGTGTTCATTTGCCCTTTTCACAGAAATATATTGTTTATAGTTTTTTTTAAAGATAGATAATTAATTGTTTTTTCACCTTTTTCATTGGCACACCTCAACTGAATTTGGACGTTAAGTTAATGTACTCAAAAGTAGGACGCAGTTTCTAAAATAGAATTATGAAGGGACTATGATCTTATATGAACGCTATAAAAGGAGTATAAGAGAGGAGAGTCGTTATAAAGTGATCTTGAAAAGGTGATGTCAGCAAGAAAGAGTAAGTTTTACATTTGACAACACATAGCAGTCACTGGATTGCAAACTACAATATAAGATTTTTAAAAATTAGGATCTCTATTTCCGTCGACACTTAACAGCTTCTCAATTTAAAAGTTTTTAGTTCAATTTAATTCAATTACGGTGCAACTTTTCATTGCATCACTATTTCTTTTTCTTATTGTTTATAGATTTTTTTGAGAGAGATCATTATTTGTTTTTTTTTTCACTTTTTTCAGTGGCAAAAATCACAAACAATCTTTCACCATGATCTGGAATACTTCAGGAAATGACACCATGATCTGTACGTTTTCAATGTTATTATTCTCACGTAAAAAAAAAAATATGTAATTATTTGAATGCTACTATTAAGAAAATGTAAGTGTTTTATAAATATACAATCAAAAAAGTATAAATGTATTAATAAAACAATCGAAAAGTTGGAAAGTAATGCACGAAGCATAGCATGGTTCTTGATTTCATAATGCAGGAAATATTAATTGCAGTTAACCCACCGGAGATGCCAATATGGGGATTCTGGGTAAAACAGGTGGCAACCCCTATTGTCACTGTTCTCGGACTGACCGGAAATACGTTGTCGTTCTTAGTGATGGGTTGTTCCAAGAGACTGCGCAAACAATCTTATAGTCAGCTTCTATGTATACTAGCCATCTTTGACAGTCTGAACTTGATTATTAATCAAGTAGAACTGATTGATGAAATGAATGTCTATAAATCCGGGCATCAAAATAGTTTCCACAGAGACTTTCCAGACAGTGTATGTAAGATTTATAACTTCTTAAAGCATGTTTTCCTCCTTGGATCGTCCTGGTTGGTTGTATGTCTGTCTGTGGAGAGGGTCCAAGCTGTGTGTTTCCCCTTCAGAAGAACATTTCTACATAGAAGGTTCAGTGTTGCAATTTTCGTAACAATAACTATCGCCATCCTGTCCTTGACACAGATTTTCCGGATTCTATTTATAGAAAATGTGAACGGAATGTGTATGGTAGTACAGGAGTACTTGACACTATATGTTTATCTACATCAGTACGGCTATCATCTAAGTCTTCTGTTTGCTTTACCCTGCGTCATTGTTCTCTCATGTAACTTCGCTGTCATCTACCAGATTTATGTCATAAGGAAGGAGGCGGGAGATGATTGTCCACCATCTTTAGGCAGCACGAGAAAGGCTACAACCATGTTACTGTTGATAGGTTTCGTGTTCATCATCACCATGTTTCCTCAGTTTGTGTGTACCAGTGTCCTTCTGTACTACACAGACGAAAGCAGACGACATATTGGACAACACATCATGCTAAAGATGAGACCATATTTAGAGTTGTTTTCAGTTGTAAGTTATACAAACTACTGCATTAACTTTGCTATTTATGTTTTGTGTGGAAGATCTTTCCAGTGGGAATTGTGTCGTATGTTTAAGTGTAATCGGCGCAGGAATATCTTTAGGGAAGAGCAGACGAAAAGAAAAGAGGAAGAGAAACCTTTACAAGGATAATTTATATGAAAGAGGAAATTTCACCGGGAACATTTTCTTGAGCGGGCTGTCGTACCTATGTAACTAAAGCGAACTGAACCACTGGTACTGTGAAAAGAAAATCGTTTGATATATGAGGATAAATTTTCAAGACATTGGATATATTCCCCATTTTGTAGCTGTCAAATATTGGATATATGATTGATGAAGATTGGATATGGTTCTTGTTTTGTAGTTGATAAGAGTAATTACAAATGTTACAATGTGTCTCTGGTCTAATGTTTGTAAAAGGTATAAAAAATGAAAAAAAAAAGATGGTGAAAATTTTAATACTATTCTTACAGGTGTTATTCTCGTGATTATCATTGCATTTAAAAAAGTTATACATGTACTTGTAAAATTTGCCTGCCTAGGTATTAAAATAGAGGAAAAGAAAATTGTAAAGAATAAATTGTAATAGAATCTATAGTGTAAAGACCATGGAAGAAAAAAGTTATACTTTCGGAAGTTGCTCTCTATTGAATGTTTTACAAAATACAATCATTTATATCTTTGCGTTAATTTAGTACATAAAAATTCTGAAATTTCCTTCCCTTGTCTCCCATTTTTTTTACTACTTTTGGATAAATTCCTTTGATGAAATAAATGTTTATTTGTAAGATAAGTTTACTCTCCAAAGTAACAGACTGAGTTTTATGCAGTAGTCAAGAAATGTCCGTCCTTGATCTCGCTTCAGAGCTAGAGCTTGAGTATGGGATGGACTAGAAGCTACCATTCTCTTCAAATTAAAAGAAACAGCAGTCCCTGCAACTACTATGATCTACACAACTAAAATGCCCATTTCTCGTGAATGTGCAATGCGACGTCTTTTCTCAGAGGTTATTTATAAAAAAGAGATAGTGTATCGTATATTGAACTCACTTCTTATCTTTAATGTTCTTCAGAAAACGTAATCGTTTTAAGTAGGACATTCATTTACAGACAAAATGAGACTTAGTACACAGTGCACGGTGTCCTATCTGTTGCTTGTTTTAAGTGGAGTTTATTGTGTGTCCATCAAGAAATTGGATGGGAAAGTTGCAGCTTTAGAGGCAAAACTGGAGACATTGAGTACAACTGTACTCAGTCTGAGTTCTGAAAACGTTTATCTGAAGAAGAAGGTTAAGGACATGGAGAATATCCTAAGAAACTGCGAAGGTTATTATGGTGGTGAAGAAGATAATACGAGGAAGAAAAATGAAGAAATTGTCGAGGAATCTTGGATTTTGAGGGATGAAGATCCGACTGTAAATGGAAAAAGAGAACTCGGGAGTGCCAACGAAAGAATGATGATTCCCAAATCTCATGAAAGGGCTCCAGAAGTGCTGAGGGGGAAAAGGATCGGTAAGATTTTTATCATTAGATATAAATGTACGTTTACAGCATTTCTTAAAAAAAAACCCAGATGATTGTTATTCGCTTATTTTCAATTCTATCAGTGCCGCCAACTTCCTTGCCCACGGAAATAATCGCTTTCCATGCTTATATATCAAAGGATAGCTCGGGGCCTTTACCTGCACATCATATTCTGAAGTTCGATGATGTTCCTCTTAATAAGGGCAGTGGATACAACGCTTATGACGGCATATTTATTGTTCCAACCTCAGGAACCTATGTATTTACTTGGGCAATCATGTCGGACACTCATGGCAGTGTGGACAGCCGGCTTATGAAAAACGCTGATACAATTGGTTCAAGATATGCAGACTCGGCGTCTTCTACCGTGTGGGATTTTTCAACGGGAACAGTTGTTACTGATGCGAATAAAGGAGATCATGTATATGTACAGCTGGGAAACGATTCTGTAGGAAAAGTAAAAAGTATGGGCTCGAGCAGGACTTCATTTTCTGGATGGATTTTACATTGAAAATAAAATAAAAGTACGAAAAAGAATATTTTTATACATAAATACAACCTATTTAGAGATGTTTGAGATGGGTTTTAGAATCTTGTAATAAAAGGAGAAGTACACCTATCAGTAATTCAGAAGTGGTAAAAGAATATAAAAAGACAACACGATCGATATGTAGTAGTTCCAGCGTGAAAAAAGTTCCACAGGCGACTTGAGGGGAACAAATAACCTTAAATACCTCTGGGTAAATTAAAAAAAAAATGACCACCAAAATGAATTTTTTGGAAAAATTCATCTACTTTTAACATATTTTTCACTTATATCATCATATTGCACATGCATTCTAGTTTGAAATCCTTAAGTGGCAATAGAATAGGCAATTGGATAAAAAAGTTCCAGAATTTTTATTAGTAAAATTTCTTTTGAAAAAAGAAAATATCATTGCACCCTAAAAGACTTTCTTAAATACATAATCACAAGATATTAAAGTTTTTATGCTTCAAAATGTAAAAGGGGTATAAATGATTAAATCTAGACTTGGTTGAGTATCTTCACTTGTATATGTGACAAAAAACTGGCTTTTTGAATGAAATATATGAAGATAACGAACAGTATTCAGGCTCAAAAGTCCATCAAACAATACAAAATAGGAGCAGAGCAAACACGGAGGTGGGATCAGGTGCCATGGAGGAGTGAGCATCCCCTGCCGACCGGTCACACCCGCCGTGTGTTCCATGTCATGATCAGGAAATAAAGGAAAAATCAGTCGACAATTCAGTGTGTAAACAATGGCCTAACAATTTGTATGAAAAACGTCAGTCAGCATTTGTATTTGTTGACAAAGTCATTGTATCGACCATAGAACTTACGAAATGATGACTTTAAAGGAGACAGCTGATATTCTTGTTTCATCAACTTGTTTGTCAATAATTTACCTCGTTTTAGAAATTGTACATACGTAGAGCATGCTCTTGGGCATCGAATCAACTGAGAGATATATATACCCCGTATGCAGGTGATGAAGGTATATTGCTGCATAAGTAAGGGAAGTTGACGATTGAAAAGTTAAAGTCATCACGTTTATCATAAAGCTTGATTGATAGATTACCATTAACGTCTTTTTCAAGTAGAATATTCAAATATGAAACAGATGTGTAAGACTCTGTGGTATCTTTTATCTCAAGCTCACAAGTATATATCGTATCGACATAAGAATGGAAATAGCCATTGTTAACTGACAATACATCGTCGATATATCTAAATGTCGAGTTGAAGGCCACAGCAAGTATTTTCTTCTTTTCAGTACAAGATTTTGGACAAATTCTGCTTCATATGAATACAAAAAAGGTCTGCTAATAACGGGGCGCAATTGGTACCCATGGGAAATTCCAATAGATTGTTGGAAGACCTGGTCTCCAAAAACCACATAGATATTGTCAATTAGAAACTTAAGCATCTTTTTAATGTCAACTTCAGAGTACTTGTGTGTACAATCAGAATGTTTTTTTAACAAAATAATTGTGCAAATGACCAATGACAAGGTAAGTGAATTTACGAGTTCCATTTTTATTGCAAAAGCAGCTGTCAATGATATCAAAAAGCCTGGACTTTAATTTATCGTGGGGAATGGTAGTGTATAAAGTTGAAAAAGCGCAAGTTTTTAAGCTGTTGATTTTGGTAAAATCTTGTGATTTCAAATTTTCCAAAAGTTCCTTGGCATTTTTAAGTATCCACATCTGATTTACACCACTTCTCGAATATATTGTTGCACAGTACTCTTGAAGTTTCTCCTTCACTACTGTTAATATCTTAGTGAGGAGTAAAGAAAGAGGCTTGGTTGAACATTTACTGGAACCCGCTATGTATCTTTGTTTGTAAGGATTTTTATGAAGTTTCGGAATCCAAAATATGGTAAATTAAATTCATTTTGGTTGTTTGGAATATTAAAAATATTCAAAACTGACATATGATTTTGAAGAATTTCTTCCTCAGAAACCCTTACTCTGAATGTTATTTTACATTATTTTTCAATTCTGGTTTGAAAAGTTTTAATATGAAAAAAATATGAAGAAATAATATTCCCCAAAATTCACTTTTTTGTCCGTTCAAGTCAATTCTTTAAATCTAAGCCAAAAAAATTCTTATATACGAGTTCTCTTACAACAAATACTAGATTTTGAAGTGACCCTATTTTACATCATGGTGTTGCACTCCTGACAACTGATATATTGAGCATGCGTGAAACGGGAAAGGTAGCCAAAAAATAGAAGGGAGAACTTACGGGCTAAATTGTCATATTGAAGCAGAAAAACGAGGAAAAGAGGTATTTAATTACATTAATAACATCAATAGACCTTACAGACTCCGTTTAGTAGAATTATAATGTGACTTAAAACAAAATAATAATAAAACAGTTATACGTGTTCGAAAGGGCGGAGTAAACTTGTCCTACAAGTTTGGAGTGTCTATTTATAGTGGCATTTCTAGTAATGTAAACAACAATGTCTACCGAAACAGAAACTGTGAACTTATTGGGAGAGGCTAGGACTGTATTGTATGAGTCTGAAGAATTGAAAGAAAAGAAAATTACTTTAGAGAAACTATATGAGCTTGTAAAAAATATGGGGATTTCAATAAATGAACGGTTCAATATCATGAACACAATCATTTATGCTAGGAGTAAAAAAATTGAAGACACACTTAAGAAAGTTGATGAGATGTGTGAAGAAGTAGCGAGACTTTCAAACAGAGTCTATTCTATTGAGAGAGAAATAGGTTCAATAAATCGAACAAACGGAGAATTCCATGAAAGTCTACAGGGGATGAGCAATGTATTCGATGGGATAAAAGAGCAGGTAGGAAAGTCAGAAAATAAAATGCAAGATATGAAAATAAGGCTCGATGATATGGAGGCCAAAATTGTGCAATACACATCTGAGAGAGAGGCCGAAATCGGGGAGTTATCGGAAAAAAATGAAGAACTGTCAGAACAAAAAATCGATCTAAGATGCAGGTCCATGAAATATAACCTGATTTTTTCCGGTATTCATGAGAATTTCCCAGAGAACTCAGAGGAGATATTGCGAGATTTCTTAGCAGAAGAACTCGAAATAGATCATTACATCGAATTCACGAGTGTTCATAGATTCGGAAAGAAAAATAATAAAAGGGCTCCACCAATCGTTGGAAAGTTTATCTACCAGCGTGACCTTGACTACGTACTCCAATGCGCCACAAAATTGAAAGGGAAACCCTTCCAAATAAATCGCCAATTTCCGGATGAAATTGAACAAGCTAGGAAAAGCCTTTATCCCATTATGAAGGAGTTACGACTCAAAGGAGAAAACGTGAAATTGGTTAGGGACATCCTATATGTTAACGGAATGCCATATTACCCAGAGGATGTAGAGCCAA